GCTGTGGCTTGTTGCCCAGCAACTTTGTTTTTTCTTTCCATGGCAACACAATTTGGCATACACCCATGGTTCCTGAAGTTGTCTGCAGGATGGAGAAGCCAATGGTGTTTTCTGATCATGTGCCACCCTGTCTCCTTCCACAAGTGGAGTGAAGTTTCTGCTTGGCTTCCTATCTGGTGGGGCAAGACTGCCTTCTTCCAAGTGGCACCAAACTGTTCCACCAAAAGGTTCAAAGCTTGGAAGCACAACACACCTGCTTTGTGGCTGGTTGCACCTGCTTGGATTGCATCCAAATAATGAGACACCAAAGGCAAAATGGTCAAAAGTTCACTGGCAGTGCTTGAAATCTTGCTGGCTCTTCGATATTTTTTCAACCCTTTTGGGCTGCAGCAAGCAAACTGGTTTGAAGTTTTGGAAAGCGCTTGGCACATGCCAGTGGCCCAACCACCCATGCAAGTTGGACCAGCAATCCATGGCTTCCAATAAATTGTAGAGGCAGCTGCTCAACACTCCCTGGCAAAGCAAGGCATGCATCCAGTCATGGTAAATAATTTTGGTTGGGTGCACGATGTCCTGGAGGCTGCTGTCTGCCAAGATGGCATGCTTGGAAAAAATAATTCCAGCAGCTGTCTCCCATAGTTTGAATTCATTTTGTGGTATGGCATCCAATCTGCTGCTCATCCTGGCCCATAAAGCCCAAATCTCGTCATCTGTTGATAAATGGAGGTCTTGGTACTTGGTGAAGCTGCTCACTGTAGTCAACTCCTGTGGCTCATCATCTTCCCCTTGGTCCTGCTTGCCATCCTTGCTGAGAAAAACATTTTTACATTTTTACAACGAGAACAAAACCTGCATCCTGCATCCCCCTTCATGGACAAGGCAAATTTGTGGGCCCCACCATCCATGATGAAGAGGCCCAATTTGGGATAGAACCTCTTGTGAGGTAATGGTTGTGCTTGCCCTACAGGCTCATGGAGCTGAAGTCCTTGTAAATGCAGCATATGGGTGGTGAACCAATCATGGAGAATTGCTTTCAGCAATTGGCTAAGATGGCCATCCAGCATGTTCACTGTGGATGACCTCACCACACAAATGGTGGCCCAGGCATGGATGTTCTGGCAATGGGTATGGAATTCTTTGATGGTGGCGTATATGGCCCAAACCTTCCTGGCAGTCACTGGTGCTAAAACATTTTCTGGAGTTATTTCATCAGCATAGACCAAGATATGCATTACCTTGTTTGTGCCTACGGGTTGAAAACCGAACCAGTGTTTTGCATGTTTTTATCATGGGGTCAACGGGGTGTAATAACGTTCATTTGGACTTCCTCACATATACGATGCTACGTTATTGTGCCTCACATATATGATGCTACGTTACTGTGTGGGGTGGGGTGGGGTGGGGTGGGGTGATAACGTTCATTTGCACTTCCTCACATATATGATGCTACGCTGCTGTAATATCGTCTTGCACTGCCTCACATATATGATGCTACGCTGCTGTAATATCGTCTTGCACTTCCTCACATATATGATGCTACGCTGCTGTAATATCGTCTTGCACTTTCTCACATATATGATGCTACGCTGCTGTAATATCGTCTTGCACTGCCTCACATATATGATGCTACGCTGCTGTAATATCGTCTTGCACTGCCTCACATATATGATGCTACGCTGCTGTAATATCGTCTTGCACTGCCTCACATATATGATGCACCGGCTGCGTAAATCGTTCTTGCACGTTCCGCACATATAATGATTTGCTACGCCTGCTGTAATATGTCTTCGCACTTTCTCACATATATGATTGATACGCTGATGTATATCGTCTTGCACTGCCTCACATATATGATGCTACGCTGCTGTAATATCGTCTTGCACTGCCTCACATATATGATGCTACGCTGCTGTAATATCGTCTTGCACTGCCTCACATATATGATGCTACGCTGCTGTAATATCGTCTTGCACTTCCTCACATATATGATGCTACGCTGCTGTAATATCGTCTTGCACTTCCTCACATATATGATGCTACGCTGCTGTAATATCGTCCTGCACTTCCTCACATATATGATGCTACGCTGCTGTAATATCGTCTTGCACTTCCTCACATATATGATGCTACGCTGCTGTAATATCGTCTTGCACTTCCTCACATATATGATGCTACGCTGCTGTAATATCGTCCTGCACTTCCTCACATATATGATGCTACGCTGCTGTAATATCGTCCTGCACTTCCTCACATATATGATGCTACGCTGCTGTAATATCGTCTTGCACTTCCTCACATATATGATGCTACGCTGCTGTAATATCGTCTTGCACTTCCTCACATATATGATGCTACGCTGCTGTAATATCGTCCTGCACTTCCTCACATATATGATGCTACGCTGCTGTAATATCGTCTTGCACTGCCTCACATATATGATGCTACGCTGCTGTAATATCGTCTTGCACTGCCTCACATATATGATGCTACGCTGCTGTAATATCGTCTTGCACTGCCTCACATATATGATGCTACGCTGCTGTAATATCGTCTTGCACTTCCTCACATATATGATGCTACGCTGCTGTAATATCGTCTTGCACTTCCTCACATATATGATGCTACGCTGCTGTAATATCGTCTTGCACTTCCTCACATATATGATGCTACGCATGCTGTCATATCGTCTTGCACCTGCCTCACAATATATGATTGATGCTACGCTGCTGAATAATCGTCTGCACTGCCTCACATATTGATTGCTACGATGCTGATAATATGTCTTGCACTTCCTCACATAGATGATGCTACGCTGCTGCTGTAATATCGTCTGCACTTCCTCACATATATGATGCCGCTGCTTTGTTAATATCGTATTGCCACTTCTCACATATATGATTTGCGCGCTGCTGTTAATATCGTCTTTCACTTTCCTCACACATATTATGATGCTACGCTGCTTGTAATATAGTCTTTGCACTCCTCACATATATGATGCTACGCTGCTAGCACACCGTTAATATAGCTTGCACTCCTCACATATATGATGCTACGCTGCTGTAATATCGTCTTGCACTTCCTCACATATATGATGCTACGCTGCTGTAATATCGTCCTGCACTTCCTCACATATATGATGCTACGCTGCTGTAATATCGTCTTGCACTGCCTCACATATATGATGCTACGCTGCTGTAATATCGTCTTGCACTGCCTCACATATATGATGCTACGCTGCTGTAATATCGTCTTGCACTGCCTCACATATATGATGCTACGCTGCTGTAATATCGTCTTGCACTGCCTCACATATATGATGCTACGCTGCTGTAATATCGTCTTGCACTTCCTCACATATATGATGCTACGCTGCTGTAGTATCGTCTTGCACTTCCTCACATATATGATGCTACGCTGCTGTAATATCGTCTTGCACTTCCTCACATATATGATGCTACGCTGCTGTAATATCGTCTTGCACTTCCTCACATATATGATGCTACGCTGCTGTAATATCGTCTTGCACTTCCTCACATATATGATGCTACGCTGCTGTAATATCGTCTTGCACTTCCTCACATATATGATGCTACGCTGCTGTAATATCGTCTTGCACTGCCTCACATATATGATGCTACGCTGCTGTAATATCGTCTTGCACTGCCTCACATATATGATGCTACGCTGCTGTAATATCGTCTTGCACTTCCTCACATATATGATGCTACGCTGCTGTAATATCGTCTTGCACTGCCTCACATATATGATGCTACGTTATTGTGTGGGGTGGGGTGGGGCTGGGTACTGTTCTATTTCCCATGTTGTGGTTTTGTTTCATCATTATACTATCCTTAAAAGGTACCCCGGTGGTTTGGTTAATATTGCACTATGTAACCTTTCGCTGTCAGGTCACGCTCTCAGCCTGCTGGGCGGGTTCTTGGGTCTCGTCTGCAGTTGTTGCATGGTGCTGGCATTTGAAGTATACATATATATATATATATATACATATCTATTTATCTAAATACGTAGATGTGTTTCTATGAACGTATATTATATAAGTTCATGTATCGTTTTTTTAAATATTTGCAAAAATAGATGTGAACACAGAGAAATGTTATGTTAGCGTTCATCCTGCATGCGCCGGTGTCTGTGACAATAAATGTGCCTGTCAATTGCTGAGCTTTTTGGCTTTGAAATGCCAGAACTCCGTAACCAATTGGAGATTTGTCTCTACGCTCTTACTTTGCTGTCGTTGCTTCGCACTGCTCATGCGAAAGAGCCTCCTCTGCTGCGTGACTGGACACGCGTGGATGATGATGAACTTGATGAGACACATGAGGTGGGATTAAGTCCAAGTACATGCAAGTACATCTTGGCTGTCATGCATTTTTTGTTCTCGTGCCTTGTTTGCGAGCTGTTTTCCGCACAACCATATGTCAGGTTTTCGCAGCAGTACTGACGGACAACGATGATGTGGCTGTCTTGGTGGCGAGATGTCTTTTGGATTGTGACGCAGGCAAATTTCGATCTTTGAGCTCATCCATTGTTGTTCTACGTGACTCTTGGGATCGATTTCGGAGACGACAAGATCCGTTGCCAGATGTTGTCCTACAACGAACGCTTGCCTTGGAGCGCCGCATGGCTCACAATCGTTCTCCTGTCTCGCTAGATGCCGTGTACAGGAGCTTGGAGATGCTTCATGCTGTGTCCCGTCCGGTGGCCGCTAGAGATGAATTTGGAGTGCTTCAAATGGAATCGGCATGTCCTGGTGTTGGAAAATTTGAACCAAGCTTTCTGCCAAAGCGGTCGCAGACTTTTTCTGCTCAACCATGTGTGACACGTGCGTCAAATGTTGCCATACCTGTTCTTTGTTTCAACTTAGTTGTATCTGGTTCATGTCATTTCTTGTTTTCTTTGTGGTCGTTCTGGCTCCTTTTCCTCGCTTCGGCTCTTATGGCCTTTGCGGCTTCCAAACTTCTGAGGTCTTAGATTCTCCGGATATGCACTCCTGGCGATCTCCTTGCTTTGAAGTTTCTTCTGATTCCATTGGGAATGAGGAGGATGTCATAAGTTGTCCTGGACCCGACGACTCCCCGCCACATCGCGTTGTCAAGGCGCGCGATCTTTGGCGAGAACAAGATGACATGATGGAAGAGTTGGTCAGGCCTGGTTTTTAGGTTTGAAAACGATGACATTCTTATGTTGAATTTGATTCCGACATTTCTTCTATCTTTCTGGTGCCGTTTTTGCACTAACATACGCAGGAACTCGGAGCCTGCCGGTGCCTTCGCTTCGAGCAATGCGTCGCCTCTTCCAACGGATTGTGCTGCGGTCGGTGGCGCTTTGTCTTCGACTTCTGTTTTGCCTCCTTTTGACCTAAAAGAATTTTGGGAAGAGGAAGATGCATGGGTGCATTCCTTGACAGAGGATCTTGCGCCACGTGCACCAGCCGTGCCGGCCCCGTTTGATTTGACCGAGTTTTGGAAAGAAGAAGATGCATGGGTGCAATCCTTGACGGTTTCGGCACGCTCGGCTTCACATACTTCGCCTGCTGCTGCTGCATCCGCATCCTCAAGGTCGCCCGACGAAATTCGCGTGGCAGATCAATTGGAATTGACCGAGAAAAAAAAGAGAAAGTTCAAATGGGGAGAATGCCAATGTGGGAATTACTCTGTCACTCCATGGATCTTCAAAAGTGGTCGCAGAAAGGGAGCTTTGAAACTCGTCTGCCGAAGTTTCTTCAAGAGAGAGAATCGATGTTGGTTGACGCAAGATTTCGATATGACTCGTTTTCCAGAAATTCCAAAGCCAATGAGAGATTTGTATCAAAGCCTGGAGATGAGTTTTGAACGCAATGCACGCCAGGGATCTTGAGAGATGCACATGAGACAAAAAGAGAGGATGGAACGCTTTTCCACCTGCTTTTCAAGCATTGACATGAAACCTGTGGACCATGTTGATTCTGATCCATAGCTGTGAGAACATAGGTAGATATATAGATAGATAGATATATATGTCTTTATATATATATATATAGATATATTAAGTCACCAGCAGATAGAATATTCAAGAAACACTGGACAACAGATAGAATAGGCCAAAACGCCATCAGCAAATCCAACAGATAGAATATTCACGATAAGCAAAAACATAAAGAAACTATATGATTTTGATGATTTTAGCAACCAAATGAAGAGATAGAATATTCTCAACTGCAAAAATGATGTATCCCTGAAATCATTGATTCTCTATGGGATTACTGGAATAATATTGCAGTTTGTTTCAATGGTTTCCATACCTTAAATCATTGACTATCTATGGGATTGCTGAGAAAAAATGATGCATTGGTTTCAGCGTTTTCCATGATGTTATATTTCTGAAATCATTGAATATCTATGGGATTGCCGGGAACATGTTGCATTTGGTGTCAATGTTTTCCACAATATTGTATCCCTCAAATCATTGAATAGCTATGGGATGGCTAGGAAAACATTGCATGTGGTTTCTACTAATTGCACATCCAAACACATGAAAATCGTATTCTTGCTAAGGTTTTTGCTAATGTTTTCCTAATATGTTATATTTATAGAATGTGACCACTGGCAGCCAGCAAAGCTGGCACCGCCAATCTGAATATTCTATCTGTTGATTTTTGAAGACCGTTTAAAAAGGAAATTCTACAAATATATATTGATAACATAATATTTTGGAATTCTTCCAAAACCATACCTCCAACATCTCCCACCGACCACGCGCTGAGAAAACGCAACTGATTTTTTTCTAGTATTCCTATATATATGTAACTTTGGCTTGGTATTCAATGCAGAAACGCAACTGAATGTTTCTATTTATACCGTTGAAATTTGCAAAGTTGCTGGAACTGCGCTCATCGTGCATGCTGTGATCCACAATGACATGCATACAACACAGCATTATTCCATAGGTTCAAAACACACACATATATATATACATGAAACCAACAGATAGAATATTCCAACAGACCAACGATACCGGTGATATTCACTTTTTGATGAAACAATTCTTATGTGGTTTCATAGATAAAATATCAAGTTCAACGAGATCACCCAAATTCACTAATTGAAACGTTAAAAGTTCATTCTTTGTTGGATACAGTAAACCATGGAGGATGCAGAAAACCTATATATATACATAAAACCAACAGATAGAATATTCCAACAGACCAATGATACCAGTGATGTTTCCTTCTTTGATGAATATATTGATATGAAATTGTTGAAATTCATTCTTCATCGAATAAAATAAACCATTGAAAATGGAGAAAACCATATATATATATATATACACGGATCCAACAGATAGAATAAGTTCAGCTTAAAATCATGTAGATTTGGAGATATATTTCCATAATTTATAAGCTCGAAATATCAACGATTTCGTATATATATATATATATATATACGCGAAATCAACATTTTGCTACTCACCTTAAACAGATAGAATATTCTCACCTGCAAACTAGGTTTCACCCGCAAAATCGTCGATCTCTGAACACTGGATAATATTCTATCTGGTAGTGCCTTAGTATAAATAGATAGATAGATAGATGTATTGATTGAGAGATAGATAGATAAATAGATAGATATATGTATATAAAAATAAAATGTAGCTGAATATATGTATGCTGGAGTCTTTATATCGGCTTACATGGTCTGGCATTAGAATAGAAGCATACATCTATTTGTGACCAGATGCGCGAAGCCGTCTTGCAAAACCGAAGGTCCTCGCATGTTGCTTTTCAAATCCTTCACGTCTTTTGAAGCTCAAAAAACACTCGGACACTCCACATGGATGTTTCTTCTCTGGCTTAAAATGCTTGAACGTAGTGGAAGAATTTAAATGGTTGTATGCGCCGCAGTTTTTCCGGTTCAATGAAGAAAGGTTCCTGCACGGAATCTTTGTCCTGTGTCTCCTGTCGGACATGGGACATGGAAAAGCAAAAGCAAACGGAAAGGCAAAGCATGAGTGCCATGTGTGTGGCAAAAGTGGACATCACTCGACATCATGTCCGCAGCTTGCCCAAGACCTCTTGAAGGCGTTGACCAAGCAGTGTCGAGCAGAAGATTTGTCAGAGCACTTGCGGCAGCAGAAACATCTGCGTTGCGTGGGCGTGAAGTCTAGGCCACGTCGTTCTCTGAAAAAAGCCAGTGGACATCGTGGTTCTTCCTTCAAAACTTGGAAAGCTGCTTCTCCCACACAGAAAAGCAGGAAACAGACTCGGAAGCGAGGTTCTAAAAAGAAGCACAAAGAAAAGGATCACTTGCGCAAGCCTCGCGCAATGAAAGATCATGCCAAGCAAAAAAAATGCACTGAAAGAGACATCGTCCAAGCCTACAACCATCTTAAAAAGCAAGCCTGGTTGTGGAAACCGAAGACATGTGCCTGCGGAGGATCGTGGCAAAGGGCTTCCTACAAAGAGTCGCAACATCGTGGATGGGGTCGCTTGTTCTGGAGGTGCTCAGACTGCCGCAGATTCAGCGATGTCATGGATCACAGCTTGCTTCCGCGAGTCCGCATGCCTTTGCCTCACATAGATGAAGCTGCCCAATGGACCGTTTTAGACAAAAAAACTACAAAATAGATAGATCGTAAAAATCTATAGATTCCTATATCTATTAGACAATTTCGATTTTATCTATTATCTTATTTTTTCCTTGCAAATAGATTATTTTTTTTTAACTATTATAGATAAATCTGTGTTCTTTTTTTGGGTCTATATAGAGAGTTTTTTATCTATATAGAGAAAAATCTTGAAAATAGATTAAGCTAAATTTTGTCTATTTTGTTGATCTTTCATGGTTTTGACCATGCCAAAATTCAACCGTTACCTTCGTAGTTTGCTAGTAATTCGTTCGAAGTTTAACTTCGAAGTTTATAAGTAGTTTATTCGAAGTTTTTACGTTGGAATCATTTTTTGTCAGTTTTTCTCGAAATTTTGATAAAAAAACTCCGAAGCCAACTTCGAAGTTTTATATCGTGCCCCAGGTGTGACCCCGGAGTTCGTTCGAAGTTTTACTGTCAAAAATAGATATCTATTTCGGCAAATTCTATCTATTTATAGATATCTATTTCGGCAAAATGTATCTATATAGGTAACTCTAAATCTAACTTTTTTTTTGAAAATAGACAAATCAATATAGATAGATTTCCAGAAAATAGTTTGCAAAAAATCTATCTATTTTGTAGTTTTTAAACAGTCTAAAATAGTTATCTAAAAAAATATCTTATATATAAAAATCTAGGAAATAGTCAAAATCCTAGAATAGATAGGATTTTGTCTAAAACGGTCTATTGGGTGTCACTTTGTACTTCCAGGGATCCACCGCTCCAACCTTGGAAGCTATGGCCAGCAACTTGGGCCACGGTGGTCAGAGCAAGTCGAGTTTGCAAAAGATTCGTTCCGCACTTCTGACCTTCGAAGCCGAGGCGGCGAAGAAACGACAACACAAGAGAAAGTTACGAGGCATCGTAGAGGCAGATGCCACTTCTCTTCGAAAACTGAAACTGCCCAGGACTACGACTCTCAGGTATTTTCAAGCCTTCGGAGTAGCCAGCCGGGATTCTAGGGAGGTGCAGCTCTACGATTTAGGCCAGGTGGGACTCACAACGCATCACAGTAGTTATAACCATCTTGGACCACCGAACATATAATCAGTCTGAACATGTGATGTTTGCGAATATAACCATCTTGGACCACCGAACCCATAATCAGTATTAATCAGTCTGAACATGTGATGTTTGCGAATATAACCATCTTGGACCACCGAACCCATAATCAGTCTGAACATGTGATGTTTGCGAAAATACGATATGAGATCGGTAAATGTTGTTTCTCCATAGTTGATACATTTAGATGCACTTCGCCTTTCTTGTCAATGGTCGCAAGGCTTCGCAGACGCTCAGAACTATGGCAAGCCACCCGTGGAGAGTGCAAGGGCCATTGAAGGTGTGGGTGGACTCAATGGTGTGATTCGTGAAGGAACCATTTTGTGTTCGGACGGTGCCAGATGCTACCCAAAGTTATGTCGCACCAAAAAAATCAAACACTTCTGCTGCTCACATCGGCAGAGTCAATTCAATGTGAAAAAAAGATGGCAGGGAAAGACAATTGATGTCCACACGGGCACGATTGACAATGTTTGGCGGCTGATCAAAGGATCCTTGCCTAAGACTCTTCATACGAAGAGTGCTACGAATCCAACCTTGCTCAATGGCAAGATTTGGACGCACGTTCGGGCTTGGCAGTGGCGATGGGAGAACAGTTCCCACAAAAACCTGTCCAAGCTCACTGCACAGATTGTCAAGACCACTTAGCGCAGAAAAAAAGAGAGCGCCGCTGGGGTTTTTGACATTTCCACTCAAAAGTACGCGCGTACTTTTTAAGGAAATTGCACTTTCAGGGCAATGCAAAAACACTGTGATTTGTGGTAAAAAAACAATGACGAAGAATGCAAACGTTGAAAACGTGGGTTCGATAAACAACCCGCCGGGTTGTTTGTGGCCACTGCGTTGGACAGGAGCTGGTGGATACCACCACCATGGGGTAAGCTCTTTGGATCCATGAGCAAAAGTTGGTATACTTAATGGCAACAATGACCATCATGAGTATGCAGCATGCAGCTGTGCATCTTGGAGCAGTGGCTCACTAGAATCTGCTTGCTTGAGAACAGCTTGGCTGGCCTCAGACATGGCTTTCCTGGAGGTGATTTCTGGGACACCTTCTTCTTTGACATAGGCCAATACCTTTTCCAAAGCATTCTTGGAAGTGTATGGTATGGACCTCCTCAAATGGTTCAATTTGGCCAGTTTTCGCGACCTTTCTGCCATGGCTTCAGAAAGAATATCCAAATTGGTGTATATTAGCATGGCGCTCTACCACGTTTTCTTTAGAGCTATTTTGTCCAAGTTTGGGTAATTATTGTCCCTAGGTTTGGTAATTATTGCCCCCAAGTTTGGGGAATTATTGTCCCTAAGTTTGGCCTAAGTTTGGTAATTATTGTCCCCAAGTTTGGGTAATTATTGTCCCTAAGTTTGGGTAATTATTGTCCCTAAGTTTGGCCTAAGTTTGGTAATTTTTGTCCCTAACGTTTGCCTCTTTGGGGAATTTTTGTCCCCAACTTTTGCCTCTTTGGGGAATTTTTGTCCCCAACTTTGGTGAATTTTTGTCCCTAACTTTTGGGGAATTTGTGTTCCCAACTTTTGCCAAAAGTTGGGGACAAAAATTCACCAAAAGTTGGGGACAAAAATTCCCCGAAGAGGCAAAAGTTGGGGACAAAAATTCACCAAAAGTTGGGGACAAAAGTTCCCCAAACAACCAAACGTTAGGGACAAAAATTACCAAAAGTTAGGGACAAAAAATCACCAAAGAGGCAAAAGCTACGGACAAAAAATCCCAAAAGTTAGGGACAAAAAGAGGCAAAAGTTAGGGACAAAAAATCCCAAAAGTTAGGGACAAAAATTGCAAAACAGTGCCTAAAGAGATAGCCCAAAAACATGGTAGAGAGACATGCTAATGTGTATATATTGTGCATTTCAAATAGAAATGTTTGCTGAAAAGGCTTATAGCTATATATATATATATATTCACTGTGTTCAATCACGTGTCGAAATAGGAACTCCATTGTGATTGTAATCTGCCTACTTTGGGCAAAATCTTGGTTTGCAACACCAAGGTGTCAATATAGACTAGGTTGGTGCAAGCATTGCAAAGTTCTTGCAGTTCAATGTCTTGTGAAAGCAGCATTGGATGCTACATCAGAAACCTCTTGCATACTGCAGCACTGTGTGCTAAAGTAACAATGGAACAACAACACAGTCATTCAAATATCTAGCAGCTTGTTTTGCAACTCTGCACTTGTGGCTCTTTGCCATCCTTCGCACGTGTGGTTCACATGTGATGGTCCCTGAAGCATTTCAAGCTTTGTGCTGCCCACTTCATGGATGCATGTACAAAAGTGGTTTCGTGCAGATTCACAAATGATTTATGTTTTCCACAAAGCTGGATATGCAACCCAATAAGCGAAATCCTTTGGCTGGAAACAAATGGCTATTCACTTGGCCCTTTTCTGGGCATTCACATACTCTTGCCAAGCTTCTCGAGTTGGAAGGATCTGGCCTACAAACTTGGGATTCCTGCAGGAGCTGCATCCTGTTTGGCCATTGCCCCTGCACCTGGCACACCCAAGCTGCCTGGATTTCTTGGGAAGAGGCTGCTTGGTTGTTCCAGGGGCAGCACCTGGCTTCTGCATTGCAGTGGCCTTGCAGGCAGAAGCAGCTGGTCTCTTCATGGCTTTTGCCTTTGCCTCTGCCTTTCCCTTTGCCTTTTCCTTTGCTCTTCTTGTGCCCATTGGAATTTATCTTCAATTGGTCCATAGCTTGTTGCTCATATTCTTCCAAATATGGAACCATCGCCTGATCATTGTTTCGTGGTTCTGCAGATCCTTGATCTTGGAGGATTGGAAGTGCTTGCTCTGGGACTGCAGGTGGTGCTTCTGATGCTGCAGCTGGAGTTGTGCCTGGCAGTAGTGCAAGACCTGGTGGCAAGACTTGGCCACTGCCACTGACAGTGGCAGTTGTGGCAGCAGGTGCAGGGCTTGGGGTTGCTGCATTGTTACACAACAAGATGAGAAGATGTAAAGATGATAAGATGTGAAGATGAGAAGATGTGAAGATAAGAAGATGTGAAGATGAGAGGATGTGAAGATAAGAAGATGTAAAGATGAGAAGATGTAAAGATGAGAAGATGAGAAGATGTGACTATGAGAAGATGAGAAGATGTAAAGATGAGAAGATGTGAAGATGAGAAGATGTAAAGATGAGAAGGTGTGAAGATGAGAAGATGTAAATATGATAAGATGTGAAGATGAGAAGATGTAAAGATGAGAAGATGTGAAGATGAGAAGATGTGAAGATGAGAAGATGTGAAGATAAGAAGATGTAAAGATGAGAAGATGTGAAGATAAGAAGATGTGAAGATGAGAGGGTGTAAAGATAAGAAGATGTGAAGATGAGAAGATGTAAAGATGAGAAGATGTGAAGATGAGAAGAAGCAAAGATGAGAAGATGTGAAGATGAGAAGATGTAAAGATGAGAAGATGTGAAGATGAGAAGATGTAAAGATGAGAAGATGTGAAGATGAGAAGATGTAAAGATGAGAAGATGTGAAGATGAGAAGATGTGAAGATCTGAAGATGAGAAGATGTAAAGATGAGAAGATGTGAAGATGAGAAGATGTGAAGATGAGAAGATGTGAAGATGAGAAGATGTGAAGATGAGAATTTGTGAAGATAAGAAGATGTGAAGATATGAAGATGTGAAGATAAGAAGATGTGAAGATGAGAGGATGTAAGATAAGAAGATGTGAAGATCAGAAGATGTGAAGATGTGAAGATTAGAAGATGTGAAGATGAGAGGGTGTAAGATAAGAAGGTGTGAAGATGAGAAGATGTAAAGATGTGAAGATGTGAAGATGAGAAGATGTAAAGATGAGAAGATGTGAAGATGAGAAGATGTAAAGATGAGAAGATGTGAATGTGAGAAGATGTAAAGATGAGAAGATGTGAAGATGAGAAGATGTGAAGATGAGAAGATGTAAAGATGAGAAGATGTGAAGATGAGAAGATGTAAAGATGAGAAGATGTCAAGATGAGAAGATGTAAAGATGAGAAGATGTGAAGATGAGAAGATGTGAAGATGAGAAGATGTGAAGATAAGAAGATGTGAAGATGAGAGGATGTAAGACAAGAAGGTGTGAAGATGAGAAGATGTAAAGATGAGAAGATGTGAAGATGATAAGATGTAAATATGAGAAGATGTGAAGATGAGAAGATGTAAAGATGAGAAGATGTGAAGATGAGAAGATGTAAAGATGAGAAGATGTGAAGATGTAAAGATGAGAAGATGTAACGATGAGAAGATGTAACGATGAGAAGATGTGAAGATGAGAAGATGTAACGATGAGAAGATGTGAAGATGAGAAGATGTAAAGATGAGAAGATGTGAAGATGAGAAGATGTGAAGATGAGAAGATGTGAAGATGAGAAGATGTAAAGATGAGAAGATGTGAAGATGAGAAGATGTAAAGATGAGAAGATGTGAAGATGAGAAGATGTAAAGATGAGAAGATGTAAAGATGAGAAGATGTGAAGATGAGAAGATGTAAAGATGAGAAGATGTAAAGATGAGAAGATGTAAAGATGAGAAGATGAGAAGATGTGAAGATGAGAAGGTGGTTTACAGACCCCCACTATTGGAAGAACCCTGCGCGCAGACGCTATCGGGAAAAAATAATCGATGTGCCGAACCTTTTTTTTTATTTGTTTGCAAGAACAAGCAAAATTCTGCCACAATACCAAAGATATAAGGAACTGATTTTTCCTGGGGATGTCCCTGTGACACATGTTTTTTGCAAGCGTGAAACCTTTTGAAGTAGATAGAGTTGCTTGTTTGCAGCTTTTACCTGCTCTATTGAAAACAAAGCTTTGTACAGCTTCTGCCACTCAGAAAAGGAAGAAATTATTGTAAAAGCACTGTGTGCTAAGAGTGAGAATCTGCAGCACTGGGTGCTAACATGCAACAAAGCACTTGGTGCTAACTTGCAGCAAAGCATTGGGTGCTAACATGCAGCAAAGCACTTGGTGCTAACATTTGGAACAGCATGGAGTGCTAGAACCACCATGCTTGCCTTTGTGTGTTCTGTCTTGTTTGCAACAATCCAACCAATCCAGCAGAAATATAAAATGTGATTCTTTTCCTGCCAAGCACACAGCTGAAGTCATGGTGCAAATCACCTAAACAAGAATGGTGTGAGTGTGGTGACACCTCTTCTACTGGCACACCAAAACACAGAAGCCATCACAGCATCTAATGGAATTGCTAATTGGTGGTCGGCTTCTTGCCGCACACAATGCTTTGGTGATTTGGTTACCAAAGCCAAACATTGGATGATGCAAACATGTTCCCCTTGGAATGATAAAAAGCACAGCACCGTTCCAGCTTCAAACCCAGGCAAATTGCTGGAACTACATCATCTTTGGCACAAATGGCATTATGCTGGATTGTGGCAGTAAAGGGCGTAGAAACTCCATTGCAAGGTTCTTTGATAGTTGGCCATATTGCTCGGGCCATTGGCAGCAACTTCTTTGGAATTGCCTTGGGCCTTAGCAATGCAATGGTTTGGTCAAAGGTGTCTGGCAAAGTCACTGTTGTGAGCTCCTGGGCCAATAGCTCATGTAGGATGCTCTCTTCATAATTCCTGGTGTTCTGGATGGCTGTGGCTTGTTGCCCAGCAACTTTGTTTTTTCTTTCCATGGCAA